CATGACATGGAACAATAAATAAGTAATCATTGGAACAGATTTGTGTTCTGGGATCAAAATTAAACATGTCCCCCAAAAATATGAACAAGGATATTTTATCAATATTCGTAACACAGAAGTGGTCTAATTCAGGAAATCAATAATGTTCAGCTCCATACAAAGGAATCTTGCAAGGTTCCCTTACATGAAGGTATAGACACTTATGTGAAGTTTTTCTTCTATAGAAGCGGCACTGAACTGGATCCAGTTTTAGTTCTAGTGATCCATTGAAATCAGCAATTCACCTTAGTTATAACCAGAGTCGTCATCCAAATTAGGCAACAGCTAGTCCTGATCTCAACAGCTTTTTACTTTTAGCTCTTCCACCTTTGCTTGGCAGAGGTGCTGAATCTTGCCCAGTAAGGAACTGGATTAGCCTAATTCCTGAGTTGTAATGGGTTAATGTCAATAGTAGCCAAGCAGGGTTATAAACAGGCCAACACATGCCTAGTGTTAGGAATCATGAGTTCTTCATTCAACGTGGCCTACAAAAGCTAAACTGGCAAGACACATTCCTAAGCATAACTTGAGCTCATTGATTAAATTAGTTTGGTTAAATCTGAATCAAAGACACTTTATGTTCTTCCCAAACCACCACAAACCCCTATATTCTTGTTGCATAGTATTCTGTTTTTCAACTTTATAGCAAAACATCTTGCACTGAATTGTTAAGGAACTAGTATTGCCACTTTCTCCAAGCTGGCATCTTTTCCAGTTGTGTTACAATAGCTCCTATGGTTCCAAATAACATGGCCTTTGGAATTGGAATGACGGGAACCACATAAATTAATGCAGAAATAGCAGTAGCACTTAGACTTATATACTGCTTCATAGTGCTTTACAGCCCTCTCTAAGCGGTTTCCGGAGTCAGCATATTGCCCCCAACTTCGAAAGGATGAAAGGCTGAGTCAACATTGAAAGATAAAAAAATCTGAGCTACTGGCAATAATGCTATTCAGTATGATATAAAGCTTACAGATAGATGAAACCATTTTTCTTGCTAATTCAAAGCTAATATTTTAAGACATTAGTCTGCCATCTGGTGGTAGATAGATTAATCCATCAGTTATAAATTGTCATATTTACAGATAATACCCAATACAAAGATAATCCAGCTTCTTGTCTTGGGTAGGCTTTCAATTGCCAATCTTGTACTGTAAGATATTCTTACAATAACCATGTTTTGAATTTTCAGTAGAGAGTTTGGAATAAGAACCTGGAAACTAAGAGTTATTTGCAAACATAGTAATATATTCTAAGTTACACATCCCAAACTAGTGACAATAAAACCATCATCTCTAATTGTTTATCAAGATTCTTAGTCATTCAGGTCATGGTTGCCCAAAGATATTTTGCTTCTCATCCAAGAAGTTTTTTCAGTTCTGGCAGTTCTTTAGTCTGTCAGAACCGAAGAAGCTTCTTGGAAGACAAGCGAAATGTCTTCAAGCAAAACAAAGGAAGTCCAGTTGCCTTTTGAAAAAGCACCTTTGGCACGATAATCTCTAATTAATTCTTACCCTCAATCTATTGTTCTAGGCTTCTTTTCCTGGCACCATACATAGCTGCGGTGAGATAAGAAAGCAATATGATATAGTTAGCCTTTAAAGTCAGTAGAAACCAACTAACAAAACCAAAACATGAATTGCATTCGTTTGAAGAACGGATGAATTACATAGGATGGCACTTTTTAAAAATAAGCCATGTTACACAGATTATCTGCAACCAGTCGACAAAAGCAGAAGAGGATGCTATTTTGCACTGTAATGCTTGTTTAGAGGTTAGAAATGGGATTCTTTTTTTCTGGTAAGGGCCACAGTACCTTAGTTAAATGAGTGGAACTAAATTTCATTAATGGGTGGGACTAAAGCTAAAATGGATGCAATTCCTATATTTGCCCAATACCCACAATGACAATACTGCTCCAGGTATTTTGCTAACAACTTCAATCTAGAAAATGGGATTAAGTAGATTTCAATAATCCAGAGCAGGATACATTTCCTGAATGGGGTATGGCTGAGATAGATGAAGTATGGTTAGAGTAATCCAGCGAAAGAGACCTAGAGGTGCAGTGATTAAAGTGCAGTATTGCAGGCAGACTCTGCTCACAGCCTGGAGTTGAATCCTGATGGGGCTCAAGGTTGACTCAGCTTTCCATCCTCCCAAGCTTGGTAAAATGAGGACCCAGATTGTTGGGGGCAATATGCAAACAATGCTTCTACGTACATTGTAAATTGTAAAGAGTGCTGTAAAGCATTCTGAGGCAATATATAAGTCTAAATGCTATTATTACTAGAGGAACTTCCCCTTGTTTAAATCTGAATAGGTTGAGAACAATATGACAAACGGAGCCCTGGTGGCACAGTGGTTAAAATGCAGTATTGTAGGCTAACACTGCTAACTGCCAGGGGTTCGATCCTGACTGGCTCATGGTTTCAGCCTTCCATTCTTCTGAGACCAATAAAATGACTCAGATTGCTGGGGGCAATATGCTGCCTCTGTAAACCACTTAGAGAGGGCTGTAAAGCACTATGAAGCGGTATATAAGTCTAAGTCCTTTTGCTTTTGCTAAGTGCTAAACTGAGCCAGAAAGCATGCCTCAGCTTGTATATCTCTTTTCTAATTCTTCCCTTGGTGTTGCCTTTATGTGTTGTTTTAGATTTAACAGATTAACAGAGTTGGAAGGGACCTTACAGGTCATCTAGTCCAACCCACCGCTCAAGCAGGAGACCCTACACCATTTCTGACAAATGGCAGTCCAATCTTTTCTTGAAAGTCTCAAGTGATGAAGCTCCCACAACTTCCAAAAGTTGTTCTCCTTGGTCAGTTTCCATCCATTATTCCTTGTCTGGCCTTCAGGTGCTTTATTTATTTATTTATTTGTTTAAATTTCTATACCGCCCTTCTCCAAATAGGACTCAGGGCGGTGCACAGCCTAAGTAAAAACAAAGCATACAAAATTTAAAAAACAGTATTAAAATAATTAGATATTCTGGCCGTAAATTAAAACAACCCAATTTAAAACCAATTTAAAATTTAGCTCAAGCCAGCCCAGCTAGTTGAAATAAATAAGTTTTCAGGGCCCGACGAAAAATCCGGAGGTCTGTTATTATACGTAACTCCGGGGGAAGGTTATTCCAGAGGGTGGGCGCCATCACAGAGAAGGCTCTCCCCCTGGGGGTCGCCAGCCGACATTGTCTGGCGGACGGCACCCTGAGGAGGCCCACTCTGTGCGAGCGTACTGGCCGGTGGGAGGCTATTGGTGGCAGTAGGCGGTCTCGTAAGTACCCCGGCCCTAAGCCATGGAGCGCTTTAAAGGTGGTCACCAACACCTTGAAGCGCACCCGGAAGACTACCGGGAGCCAGTGCAGCTCGCGCAGGAGAGGTGTCACATGGGAGCGCCTCGTCGCCCCCATAATCCCCCGCGCGGCCGCATTCTGGACCAGCTGGAGCCTCCGGGTGCACCCCAGGGGGAGCCCCATGTAGAGAGCGTTGCAGTAGTCCAGGCGGGAAGTGACTAGTGCCTGAGTGACTGTGCGTAGAGAGTCCCGATCTAGAAAGGGGCGCAACTGGTGTATCAGGCGAACCTGATAAAAAGCCCCCCTGGCCACGGCCGTCAAATTGTCTTCTAAAGACAGCCGTGCGTCCAGGAGGACGCCCAAGTTGCGAGCCCTCTCCGTGGGGGCGAGTGATTCGCCCCCAATAGCCAGCTTTGGACCCCCTCCTCTCTGTGGCAGCCCCTCAAATATTGGAACACTGCTATCATGTCTCCCCTGGTCCTTCTCTTCACTAGACTAGCCATGCCCAATTCCTGTAACAGTTCTTCATATGTTTTTGTCTCCAGTCCCCTAATCCTGGTTGCTCTCCTCTGCACTTTTTCTAGATTCTCAACATCTTTTTTATAGTGTGACCAAAACTGGATGCGGTACTCTAGGTGTAGTCTTACTAGGGCTTTATAGAGTGGCATTAGTACCTTACTTGATCTTGATTGTATCCGTCTGTTAATGCAATTTAGGATTGCATTGGCTTTTTTAGCTGCCGCTACACACTGCTGGCTCAAATTTAGCTGATTGTCCACTAATACTCCAAGATCCCTCTCACAGGGACTGCTATTAAGCTTGGTTTTCCCCAGTTTATATGTGTGCTTTTGGTTTTCCTTACCTATGTGTAAGACTTTACTTTTCTCTACATTGAATTTCATTTTGTTAGATAGGGCCCAGTGTTCCAGTCTATCACGAGCCATCTGGATCTTGAGCCTATCTTCTAGGGTGTTAGCTATTCCTGCCAGTTTAGTATCATCATGTAAATTTGGTGAGCTCCCCTTCTATTCCCTTATCTAAGTCGTTTATGAAGATATTGAAGCGTACTGGGCCTAAAACAGAACATTGTGGCACCCCACTGCTTACTTCTCTGCACGCATTGTAAGATGCCCTGAATCTCCGGAGAAGGGCGGCATATAAATCAATTTTTTTTTAAAAAAATGTAGATTTAAACTCATTAAGGACTACTCGTTGAGTACGGTTTGTCAGCCAAATGCGAATCCATCTGGGGGTGAAGCTATCTATCCCACTTTTTTCTAGGTTACGAAGAAGTAGATTGTGGTCCACTTTGTTGAATGGCTTGCTGAAGTCTAAGTCTATTATGTCCACAGTATTTCACTGGTCTACTAATTTAGCCATTATGTTGAAGAATGAAATAAGATTGGTTTGGCATGATCTGTTTTTAACAAACCCGTGCTGACTGCTAGTTATTACTTTACTCATTTCTAGGTGTTGGCAGATTTGTTTTTTAAATTATCTTTTCCAGTATCTTCCCAGGTATGGACGTTTATATTGTACATCTCTCAAAAGAGGAAGTTTTAATTTTAGTTTAATAAAAGAAATCACTTTTTTGCAATCAAGAGTGATTGTTAATCATCCCAGAGCCACAAAAACTGAAGTACTATATGCATAATACAACATTGATCTCATTATTTCTTTTATTTTTCATATAAATTAACATTCTAAAAAAAATTGGAATAGAAACACTAAATACAATATTGCACATAGTGATCTTTGTTAAGTGTAGCATTATTCAGTTTAGAATGGCAATATACACACAGTAGATACTGAAGGGAACAGGAAATCTACAAAACAGAAACATGCTTCAATGTTTTTAAATGCATTTAAATGAAAAAAAATGCAGAAACAGCAAAAGACTATAAATTACATAAATACAAACATGAGTTTTAATCAGTGCTATTAAAATATGTTTTACTTCTTTAATTGCTTTCGATAGGTCTTTTTGTAACAATCTTCTCTTTTCCCTTTCCCAAAGAAATAATCTTTATTCCTGATGCTATTGGATCATATAATGCAGTTTTGGGGCTATCCTGAAAGATGATAAGAGTTTCAAGCTGATTATGTAACAGGAAATCATTTCCCAGTGGAGGAAAAATATATTTTTTAGTGATTGGTATTTTAAAAATTCAATTCCTGAGGTCATATTTTATGCAGCCCTTATGATTCCTGGAATCACACATTAATCTCTGGACAACCAGGTATCATATAGTGGGTTACATGGAGAAAAATAAATATTTCAAAACTTAGAAATTGCATCACTCTAGCACCTTCTATGCTAAGAGGCATTGAGATATATACATCGTTTCCCTACTTTTGGCTTTTTTAAAATCTTTTAAAAAGTTGCTCTTAGAAAGTGTGGAGAAAATGTGGTAAACTAGATCTGCCCAATCATTAAATCATTTTTAGCAGTTGAGACAGAAGTATTGCAAAACAATTGCATCTGCTGTACTTTTTGTAATTCAAGTACTTAATAAAATGTGAGATCAAACAGAAGTAATCATCTTTGTTTTATCACCAGAAAAACCAAGGCTCTTAATAATCCTTCATAATTTAGAATGAGAAAAGGGAAAGATCTTTAGTTCTTTAATTTTTTTTAACTCAAGAGTTTGATAGAAAGTCTACCACAAGTTTCCTGTTACTCTGCAAACAGTTTCTTCAATGAATATAATATTGAAATACCCGAGATTGTTTGGTATCTACCAAGTGAGTCCTGTGCTTAACTGTAATTGGGTTTTCCCCTTTTTGTTTTCATTCCATTCATCAATATCAGCAAATCATGATCAACTTTGTCAATTATAACAATAGCTGGGCTGAATGTCATATTTATGACATATTTTGTCAGGAGGCAATGAAGTAGATCATGGCTTAGAGTGTAAAAGAAACACTTTTACCAATTCAGAGTACACTTACAAGGTCAATAGGAAATAGATACAACAGTTCTTGAGAAGTAACATTCTCCCTAATCTAAATGCAATGTTGTAATGTATTTGCTTTAGGAAAAAAAAATCCTGCAAGAATGGAACATCTATATGAAGTTAGATGTTTATAAAGTTTTCAGTATATTTAGGACATACTGAAATACTGCTGCTTACACAGACTACTTTAGTCTTTATTAGTATTTTACCATATAAATTGCAAAATAATGTTTAGATGGAAAGAATGTAGTATATGGGGTGTCTGTAAGAGAGAAATATCAAATAGCTTCCATTACTGGGTATCCATCGTGCAAATCTGTTTATCAGTGAATGTTCATAGTAGTCCGTGTAAACAGGAAACAAAATGCAAGAAAATCAAGAAAACAAATGGGCTGAATGGTAATATTTCCTTTCCCCTACCTCCCCAAGGCATGATCAATGTGTTGAGTCTGGGTACAAAGACATAAGTCTTTCTTCTTTCATATTTTCATACTTATCTTTGCTTTCTGAAAATGAAGGACACAGAACAAAGTGAGCAAGAAGAGATTCAGTATTTCATAGCATATTCATAAACACTGAGAAACCTGTTATATCACCCAAAGGGTATCCCATTATTTTCACAGTCCTGCATCTGTTCAGTAACTTTGATACTGTGCAGTATTTCTCTAACTCTGCTTCCTGAAAAATAACTGTGCTACCTTATAGGATCAAAAGTCTTCTATGTATGCATAAAACACAGTTGAAACATTTATCTCCCAATGGAAAAGATTAAAAACCCCTGCACATCAAAGTGGTTGTGACCTACATCCTTAGTGAATGTGTGTCTGACAATGGATAGTTTAAAAAGTAGTTACCAGGGAAATGTCACACAGTAAGATTTGCTGTTAATAGCCCGAAACAAGACAAAGAACCATGGGGAACAATTTTTCTATAACTCAAAGATCAAAATTCAATTAAATCAGACTATTTGGATATGAAGTTGAGTTTTCCACAAGATATAATCTCCAGATGCTTAAAACAAACCATCTATCTTGCATTATGGTTAGCTGAGTACAACAGATCATTTAAAGCTATTTGGTGCTTAGTCTACTGCCATCACCATCACTACTGCCTAAATCTAGTGAGCGGCTTAGTTTTATTTTAAGACCTTGCATACATTTTCTACATCTTGGTTTAACATTTAACATTTTTTAATAGATAGTAAGAATAAATAAATTATTTATTTATTAATTATAAATAAATTATTATAATATATATATTTATATTTATATAAATATTAAGATTTAAATTATTTAAATCTTATTTAATAAATCTTATTTAAATAAATAAGATAATTATACTTACAATTCCAGAATCATGCTTTTGTTTTATATTGTAAAGTGATTTTCCTTTTTTCTGTCTACATACTTCTTCAGCCTCTTTAAGTCTGCAATACATAATGTTAAGTCATCAAGTCAATAATCCTTGCAAAAGACAAGACTATTGTAGGACAAGTTCAATATACGATCATCTAGACCGTATGCAAAACATAAATTATCAGCAAATACCATCAAGGAAATCCAAAGAACCCAGTGATTACTGTAGCTGCTCCATGTTACTGTAAAAATTAATAGTCTTAGAATTACCGTGAATATAAAAAAAAAAAAAACTACCCAGAAATTGTTTGTTGAAAACTGCAGATACATTGCACAATATGTAATTTCTATAGTTTAAATAAGTAACACTGTAATTGCCTATTTCCCAAATATACTTTAGACCCTTAGAAAATTGGAGAACAAAAATGAAAAGTATTCTACTGATATCCTGCTGAGCTTTGTTAGATTTATATCCTGCTTTCTTCCAGGAATGTAAACTGTCCCAAAGCAATCCCTTCTCCAATTTCTCCTACAACCACTACCACATGAGTAGGAAGAGACAGTGAGTGACCTTAAGTCATTGTCACTATGCTTGAAGGTGGACTTTAAGTTGTGCTTTCTTAGTCCTAAATCCAGTATATTTGCAGTTATATCACAACTACAAATAGATATTTCACTGTATTGTATGAGTGTGTCTCTATGTCTCTATAAAGACTCCCTGACTATCTATCGATCCTTAAATCATTTTGGTTTTGAGGTAGAAAAACAAATATATAATACTTATGCTACTTATTTCATATTTTTCTACTTGTCCTCACTAGAAGAATGAACTTGTACAGTATGTGACAAATAAACCAAGAACTCAAAAGATTTTTGAAAGTGCCTCAACAGCATCCATTGAGGTATAAATTCCCAACTCTTGAGTGAAGCATTTTATTATCACAAACTCTCAGAATCTGAGATTTAATGTTTTCATGAAAGGGAGGGTCTTTGCTCTGGCAAGGCCTTACCATTCTTCTCATACAGCGATTTTGACTTATAAGCTCATTCCTTCCGATATGCAGGCAATTTGTTAGCAGTTGTAGGGAAAGAACAGAGCATTTCAGGAGACAGTGTGGCTACATGCTAGCGTTTCTGGAAGCTGTCTGAGGCTTGTTTAGATGGAAAATCTACAGTCCAATCCAACACATACACAAAGAAACTACTAAAACTGCAGCAAGAGAAGTTATTTCTCTGATTTTTGTTCAGAGCAGATGGCGATGGTGAAATCGGCTATCTGAATAAAAGCATTTATTTGCAAGAGTATTTTCCCTTAGACTAAAATGTTGACAGAGTCCAAAGCCACAAACAATAAAATTAATGAAAATAATCATTATAGGCTGTGTTGTGAGAGATAACTTAGATGATGGTTTCTTAGGACCAAATAAGATGCCTGTGGCATGGATGCAAACAAAACTTCAATAAACTGTGCATATTTTGATTGTGTTTGCTTTCACCGCAGTACAACCCAGTAGTTAAACCACATTCCTGTTTTTTAAACCCTAATCTATATTGGCTGAAGCAATGGCTGAGGAAAACAGCCAGGGACATAAAAGCTTGCAGAAGATGCAAGCTTTAGGAGACGTAGTTGATGAATCCTCTTAGCCATAGCAACAACATGTTTGTTCATCTGAAGCCAAGGGAGGCTGATCTGCAAAGGCTAACAGAGGCATAACAGAGTCTTGCCTGGGGCCTTCAGGATTGTAGTAGAGACATCCCACTCCCAAGATGGCAATACTTCTGTTTTTATGGAACATGACAGTCTTGGGAAGGAATCCATCACACACAGGAAGAAGGAAATGTTCCTTAGAAATAACATTAGGCAGAGACTAAATGTAATTTCACCTTCCAATTTTTTGAAGGGTAGCAATAGGTTATTTGGTGATGATCTCAGAAAGGCTGTGGCCACTTTATTACTAATGGTAAACTTTAGTAATATTGATATGAAATAATCTCTAATTTGAAGTGTTTAAAGTCACGAGTAGTGCAATCAATATTTCAATATTGTTTTCTTTTATGTGTGACATACAAACTATGGAATATAGGCATAAACTATAACTGATTAAGAAGAATGCAATAATAACTGTCATGCTGATGCTAAATTCAGAATGCTAAATAATAAAAAAAAAACAAAGTCCAGAATTTCCAAGATGAATTCCTTGGAAATGCTAGGTATTAGTCCAAGTGGAAAATTGAATAGTTCTGTTGTGAGGACAAGATTCCAAGAGTTAGGATTTCGGCTGGCTAAGCATTAAGGGAAATGTTTTGGGACAATTCAATTGTGCACAAGCAGGGAAAGCATCTCTTAAATTGATTCAAAGTGAATTATCCTGGGGGCATCTGAATGAAAATATTTCTGGTCAAATTTGGGACAAGTAGGATTAAGGAATAAATGAATGTGCACTTGGAAATGTTCGCTAGTCCAAAGATTTAATTGTTTACAATTACCTATACCTATACCTTTACCTATACACACAGAGACAAACAGAACTCATATGTTCCCCCTCCCCTTATATTAATGTTAGACATGTCTTCTTCAAGATGAACAGGTGGACATGATTATTGTAAAATAAAAACATAAAAATAACAGAAAACTATTGGAATCAAGGACCCCACAAATAAGCTATACCTGGGTATAAATCAAACAGACCTAATGGACAAAGGGAAGGGAGCTGTACCAAAGAGAAGTATGTGTTAAACTAGAAACTTCAAACAGTGATAGGTTCCATTTCAGAATCACTGTGGGTTACAGAAGTAACTGAATGCAGAAGATTGTGCTACTGCTTCCTAGACCAGGGGTCTCCAACCTTGGCAACTTTAAGCCTGGCAGACTTCAATTCCCAGCTTTGCTGGCTGGGGAATTCTGAGAGTTGAAGTCCACCAGGCTTAAAGTTGCCAAGGTTGGAGACCCCTGTCCTAGACCAAAGATAATCAGAGTATTGGGTTCTATTATCCTCACATGAACTTAGCACATGCATTTGAGAAAGAGACAATATTTCTAGATTTCTTACATGGCTACATTTAAGAGAGTTCTTGGTGGTACTGAGCAAAAGAAATAGAGACCAGGAATTAATGATAAGTGGCATAGAGAGGTTTATGCAAGATGTACTGTACATGGTGTAGAAGTAAGGGAAACAGTGACAAGTACTGTTCTGGAAGGTGATGAAGCAAAATTACTTTATTATTTATTTATTTATTTATTTATTTATTTATTTATTTATTTATTTATTTATTTATTTTTTAAACTTGTATGCCGCCCTCTCTCCCAAAGGACTCAGGGCGGCTTGCAACAATAAAAAACACATAAAATTCAGTATTCAAATATAAAAACCAATACAATCCCCTTTAAAAACCCCTTCAGTCCAATCCGGCCAGGCCAAATAGCCATGTTTTGAGGTCACGGCGGAAAGAGCAAAGGTCAGGGGCCTTCCGGAGCTCCAGGGGGAACTGATTCCATAGAGTAGGCACGCCCACAGAGAAGGCCCGCTCCCTGGGAGTCGTCCAGGGAGTCGCTCCCTGGAAGTCGCCAGTTGACACTGTCTGGCCAATGGGACCCTGGCAGATGGTCCGCCAGGTACCCTGGGCCTAAGCCATGTAGGGCTTTATAGGTAATTACCAGCACCTTGAATCTCACCTGGAGGGCAACCGGTAGCCAATGCAGGTCCCGCAGGAGGGGTGTAACATGAGAGTGTCGGGACACTCCCATCACTACCTGCACAGCCGCATTCTGCACCAGCTGAAGCCTCCGGGTGGTCTTCAAGGGCAGCCCCATGTAGAGAGCATTGCAGTACTCGATCCAGGAGGTGACGAGCACATGAGTGACTGTGCGCAGGTCATCACGGTCCAGGTAGGGGCGCAACTGGCACACCAGATGAATCTGAGCAAATGTCCCCCTGGTCACAGTCACAACATGGTCATCCAGAGTCAACCGTGAGTCCAGGAGGACGCCTAGATTGCGCGCCCTTTCTACAGGGTGAAACACCTCACCCCCTATAGCCAACGATGGAATATTCTCCTGGAACCACGATGCTGGTAGCCACAGCCACTCTGTCTTGGCAGGGTTGAGCTGAAGCCTGTTCCTCCCCATCCAGAGCCGCACTGCTTCCAGGCACCGGGACATCATATCGAGGGCATCACTGGGCTGATTCGGGGTGGATATAAAAAGTTGGGTATCATCAGCATACTGATGATACTCCACCCCGAAACCACGGATGATCTCCCCCAGCGGCTTCATATAGATGTTGAACAGAAGGGGAGAGAGGACCGACCCCTGAGGGACCCCACACGTGAGGGGCCTTGGGGCCGACCTCTGTCCCCCTGCCAACACTTTAACATGCAGTCTGAGCTAGTGATGACTGGGTCAGGAAAAATCCTGATATCGTTGTGGATAATGAGAAAAATGAGAGAAACTTAGTGATACGCAGAGGTGAATTCTATCAGTATTGATCTGTAAAATAACTGGAACTATCAATACCAGAATGTAAAAGGCTTATTCTGTAGAGTATATGTACCTGTGCTTTGATAAAAGTCTGAAACCTGTGGTTCTACGTATTTTATATTGTTAAATATTAATGAACATTTTCCTTGTGTGGCAAACTTCACTTTCATGCAACATTTCATGATCAAGGAAAGGCATTTAGAACTAGCTTTCCCTCCCAGCTTCAAAATAAACCCCCATGCACCCCATTTCTGTTATTCGAGAGCTAGGGTGAAAATGAAGTCAATATAAATAAGGCACTTTAACTTTTTATACACTCAAATGAAGTAATTGGAAAATGACATGAGATATCCCTACACACATATTTCATTTTGTGTGCACACATGTATGAAGGTAGACAAAGATGAATATGGAACCCATGCCTAGTACTTAAGAATATTTTTGAATGTTTAAATAGCACCAGCACTTAGACTTATTTACTGCTTCACGGTGCTTTACTGCCTTCTCTAAGCTGTTTATAGAGTCAGAATATTACCCCCAACAATCTGAGTCCTCATTTTACTGACCATGGAAGGATGGAAGACTGAGTCAACT